TCCTGATTCCGGCAATCGATGTAGTGGAATTATCTTCGACAGTAGCTGATCACTGAAATATTGCTGCATTGGTAGCACTTAGTTGGATTGTGAATTTCTTATCGAGGTTACATAATTCTGGTACAGACCAAAGAGGTACTTCAATGAATTAAAGTAGGAAAACACCTGCAGTCTTTTAAAACGTGTTTAAGTAATTATTTGATAGCTTAGTAGATGTCAGTGCAATAAAAAACACAACAAAAATAATAATAAATAAAATAATGATATAAAAACACCACACATATCAGGACAAAATTAACACTGACGTAGAGATACAAATAACTGTAAGTGGATGAAAGTAAATAAAAATAAAATAAAGAGGAAGACGCATGAAGAATTAACTTAAAGTGTTGAAATATAAACTTTTAATGTTGGAATAGCACCGGCGTAAAAATTTATTTTTTTAAAGAAAGCTTTTCCCATTTTCCTCTTTTGGCTATGCAGTTTAGGTGAAAGCGAAAGATAATCGGTGAAAAAATTTTTTAGAGATGATGCCATTTTACTGCTTTCACTTTAGCAAATTTTGTTTTGTTTCAGTTTCAAAATGTTACGTGTTACGCATAAGATAATGGTTTTATCTTAGATCTTTGCTAGGCCAGAAAAATGTAGAAGACTAACTTGAGTTGAAATGCACTGCCGTGGATGATGTGCAGCATGATAGCAGCAAGCGAATGAACGTCGCGACTGGAACAGGGATAGAGACCACTTAGGTAGTTCTGGCGACATTCCTCGTAAAGAAGAGAGAGTGCCATCGGAGTCATCTCCACCTTAACGTATATTTATGCTACATGCGACAAAAAATTACACAATTCATTGGCTCGTTTTAGTTTTATGTGATAAATTCTCCAGAGAGAAAACATTGTCTTTTCCCCTCCTTCCGCCCCCTCCTACTCCCTTTCTTTTTTGCTGCCTGATTTTTTCCCTCTTTCAGAAAACGGCATCACTGTTCACCTGGTTATATCATTAGGGATGGAAATGGTTTACTTCACACAGTAGCTGAATTACCAGGTACAACCGATTCTGTTTCACCCAATTCCTCCGACCTCGTTTTCCCTTCTTCCTCTTCCTACTCACACTTCTACCTTTTCCCTTTTCCCAGCTCCTTTTCACTTAAACAGAAAAATACGAGAAAATAGAATAACCCTCACCTGTTTTTCATCGTGTAAAGTAAGCCGAGCGTCTCGCCGGAAGAAAATCCTTGGCGCATCATTGTCGTGAGCATCAGTTTCGTCACTGCCAAACTTTGCTATTTTACTCTTCCATTTGTTAATGTGCTGTAGTATCTTATGTTCCGATTTCAGCTGCAGGCCTAAAACTTTCTAAAAATATAGTTTCTGGATCTTCTGCATGGTAACACGGTCACGGATTTCCTGCAGAAAAGTCATGGAAAATATTCTGCAATTTTCGAAAGGGAAAAGTGAAAAATATTTTGTTTAGTAATTTTCATTGTCATGGCGAGAATGACCAGCCCCTCTTCGATTCATTTATTCGTTGCATGGTCCTGGCACATTCAAAGAATACAAACCCGCTATCAGCTTTCTTCCAAACAGGTTTTGAAAAAAGGACGCATGTGTTGCGGAAAACCCGCGAAACATAGGCCAGGAGGCCACCATAAAGAAAAAAAAGTGTGTCTTGCCTTAAAAGGCAGATACACAGTAGATGTGCTGGCAGGCTAAACCTGAAGCACTAGGACCGGTGATGTAATAGCAGCACACTACGTCGGACTAGAAGAGGAGTGTTTCTATTCCTTCCCGGTTGATAATAATTTTCGAAAGAGGGCTCCGTTCACGACACCATGGGTAGATTTTGCTAGTATTTACATGTGTTCCTACCACCTGGGCTACTTATGTCAGCCTTGGTCTCTCACACGAATACGAAAGAGGTAATGAGTAATAACTCTGCGCAGTTATTATCAGTGGCGTAGTCCAATTTTCGAAGAGAATAAAACTTTCCGAAAGATCAAGTTTGCTAAATCTTACTCAAACGATCCGAACAAATCCATATTGCAAACAGCCGTCCACTGTCTTCATTAAACTTTAGTTCCTTGCACATTTCCGCATGCAGCTGTCCCGCTGTTGTATCCTGCCCGCTGCTAAGTAATAACTGCGCATTGCCACCATCCATCAGCTCAACCTATAATCCAGCAGCTTTTTAACTGTAATTCTGCGCAATTCTTGTAGTTTTTTGCAGAAACCAAATGCGGGCCCAGAAATGAAAGGCAGGGGTAAGAAATTTTATTAAAGTGGCTTATTGTGATCTAAGATGGCAGCAAACGCAAACGTCAATTACATTTCGATAGAGCCAAAGCCTTGCTATGGGCTTTTATTGGGAGAGTCGTCGAGTTGGTAATTCGTTCAGGAAACGAATGAGCTAACCACCAGACGCTGTAGCAATGGTCAAAGCAAATGGAAAAATTGTCAACTGCAGAGCTGGAGA